CGACCTTCAACGTCTCAATTCGGCCTTCGATGCAATTCAAGAAGAACTACAAGTCATTAGCAAAAATGATTTATGATTGATAGCAATCTTGGCACTGTAATGGCTGAATCCTCCCTCGAACCCCTCGACTTTTACCACTTACTTGATGAACTTGAATCTGACAATAGCGGTTCCTGCGCTAATGTCATTCGTAAACTACGAGAACATGAAGTTGCCGCATACCAAGCCGGTGTTGGTGGCCCAACAGGTGGATTGATTGCTAATTTCATCGCCGTTCTCGACGAAAGAGTTGCAGATAAGGAGTTGGAAATTGAAAAAGCCTGTAGCCATAACTATCAAAGTTTCGTCGACTCAGTTAAAGAGTTAATGCGTGTAGAGGAAGAGGCTGAAAAACTTCAAAGTACGCTCAGTGAGATACGTTCCAGTATGCTGGACGAAGTCCAAAAGGTACAGCATTTTTATGCGACCCGAATGCCTTTACGGTTTTGTCTAGTGGCTTTTATACATAACTGTGAAAATTGGTGCCTTAAGCTTAAGTACAGCAGATATATGCAAATATTTTGCTACAGAATAACCCTTACCCCTTCTCTTTGCGAAGTGTTTGCCCTTTCCACTGTCCTTTAGATCCGGAAATTGTATATTTAGTCAGCAAGCAAATGCTAAATCCCAACTCGTTGTCTTTAGTATGATTTACACCCTTTTGCTCTTCAGGCCTTGAAGCTAAGTGACTGCTCCAATATGTGCGTGTTGCTTTGATTTTTTCGAAAAACTTACTATATGATACTTTTCTTTGGTCGGTAACACTAACTCGCTTATTTAGTAACCCTTCTAATTGTCAGTGCTCTGTCCAATTATCGGACGTGTAATCGTTTAGCTTTCCTGCCACACCTCCCTTTATTTAATTAAATCATCACCCGATTATATTTTTTTAGTTGAACGAATCCTTCATGGCCTTGTCTGCTTCCCAAAGTACTTTGGAGCAGGTTGACCAGTGCATAGCTGCTCTTCAAAATAGTTTGCCCGTTCTTGACCAGTATGAACGTATCGAAAAAAGCATTTCAGATGGACGCTATTACCACGCACTCAAGACACTGGAGCATTTGGAAAACTACCAACTAAAGTCAATTCAATCCTACACCTTCTCCGCGTGTCTTCAGAAGCGTATTCCCGAACTGCGAGCGGAAATAAAGGTAATGCTGCGCACATTTCTTTTTTCAATAGTTATGGTTGATGAACTTAGCTTTTTATCGAATCCTCGGCTTCATTGTAGTACATTTCTTTTCTTACGTACACGCTCGGAAACTGGCTCAGCCTTTCGAACCTAAAGTGACCTTCATTCACTTACTAAATAGACTACCAACAACATATAATCATTTAGGCTTAATATCAACACAAGGTCCTTTCATTGCTGTTCTATGATAAGATTGCGCAAGGTTGCCCCAACAGTAAGCAACTAACCAATCTCTGAGGATTGGGGCTGACGGATTTTTACCATTTTCCGTTTCCTTTTGGACTCCTTATGTACATACTGCCGCAGGCCACCTCTAAGTTTGTTTCTCAAAGCAAAGCTATAGCCGAAACGATATATCCGGACGTAACTACAAGGTAAAGGTAGATGACATTACTACGTCATCGGTTTTTCACTTTTTACCTTTGGTTTTTTATGGTAATGAACTTCCATGTAAATAGCGTCGGATCTTTCCGGTTTTTTAATGCCCCTTACGAATTAACCAACATGGCGAATATACCTTTCTACATTTTATGTACCCTCTATGGACTAGAATAATGTATTATTCTCTTAAAGTTGAAAGCATACAGCTTATAGTTAGAAAAACGCAAATGCAACGGCTGTTCGAATTCAAATGTAGTCACAAATTTTGAAAAAGGTTTTGTTACTGGTAGGTACCGCTTTTTGAGTAGAAATCTTGAAGGCGTAATTTACGATCAGTGGGATAAAAGAAGGCTTATATTGCGTGTGTTTAGTTATATCGGTGGAAAAAGGTTTAATTTCCTAAGTTTACAATGTTTACTCATTTTAGTTTATACAGATGACCGCGTAGCTGTGCATCTAAAAGTGTGCGTACAGATGTTTTACAAACCCACCTAAGTCATCCTTACTCATCTAAAAAAACTTTCAACATTTTTGGTTAACATTTAAAAATATGCCATCTACTGTAGACTGTCGTTTTCCAGACGTTCGGAATATAACATGATCGTAAGATTAAATAGTGGTTTTCTTTTTCAATTAGTTTCTGATATGAGGAATGCGCATTGTACTTAAGGAATGTCTTTCATAATTTTAGTCTGCCAGCTTAGCTCAATTGACTGATTTCCTCGAAGAGATACGAAAGCACTCCGTCCGCCTGGGAGCAATAACTATGCACCGAATTGCAGAAAAAATGGGAATGAGGGACGACTTCATCGCCGACGGCGCGAAAAGACCGCTTCCCGAGCGTAAAATTGATAACGGATCAAATTCCGATGTGGATGAGTCGCCTAGCAAGGAACCAAGATCAAGAAAAACCAGTTAGTTCCTATACCACTTTCTAGCTTGCTTGCTTGCTTGCAAATATGTTCTTTTAATTACTTCTAAGGATATAAATGATCGACTTTGGTTACTATCATGGTCTTCTGCTCATCCTAAGGTTTTTAAATGCTTTATTTCTATTGGGTGCACTCTACTGATGAGGAACATGTAGATAATAAGCATTTTTGAGTTCATTTCATCAGACAAACGGTGGTCTTGAATAAGTTC